TTGAAATGATTGGCGTTGGTGTAACAGGATAAGGAAACGCAACTGGCATGACAATCATGTCAGTTTGGTAACAAATTAGGACTCATAAGGTTGATGTGGAAATGTACAGAAACCTCGAACACATCTTATCGAAAAGCTTGTGTCTGATGTCACCCAGGAACCATACAGCGCGCGATTCGAGCTTGCTCACCCTAACCCCCAAAAAGCACACATATGTTTACAAGCCTTAGATGAGAAGAAAGGTATGGAACACAATGTATTCATTGCACAAAGTCAGAGTCGAATTTGCCGATAATGCGGTATCAAGCGACGCGTCAAATCTATCTAAGCACTCGGAGCATTAGGAGCATCAGCGTCAGGGGCGATCGGGTACTCCATCGAAGGGGGTGGTGCCAGTCTTGAGAATGCGTCCATGGCATCTTGGTTGTACGTTCTGGCTTCGACAGAACTCATGGCTGGTGATGTGAGCGAGGTTGATTGGCGCGAAAGCGTACTTACCTCTAGCTTGCGCTTTTCTGACGCTGTCAGTGCTGCTTACTGGGAGCGACATGGAGCAAGCTGTTTGTGATCGTCAGAGACAGCAACTGGCGAAAGCTAAGACCAACAAGCGATAACTACGACTGCTGCAAAAACTGAGACTTTCATTTGCTTGACAAGATGAGAGTTGATGATCAAGAAAAGTGCACAAACTTGACCCCTTAAATACCCTAAGTCATGTCCGATAAAAAAAAAAAAAGCTGAGACACCGTTCTTGGAGAGAAGTAGGAGCGAAAGTTATAGACCCAGGAAGGTAAGTAACGTATTGATTATCTGCTGCTTTGCCTGCTTACCTTTGAAGCTTTGATGTAAGCCCTTCCGATCTCGCATTCATTACTTACGGCAGCAATATGCATGAAAACGTCGAAATGCCAGTGCTTGATAAATTTCTAATCTAATTCTATCTCAATGGCATTATTTGCGTCTGTTTGCGAGAACAGCACGACATAGCCAAACAGTCCCTAATCTAAGGGCAAGTGGATGGGTGAGTTGTGCAGACAGGGTGGATTAGTGAAGTGCGGCTTCTCCCAGAATCAGACTTTGCGGACGTGATAGTCACAATTTGTGACTAAGTAATATCTCGCCATCACGCTCAAAATTAACTGCATTCGAGGCAAACAGGAGCAGCTCAGGACGCGTTTCAAGCATAAAGAGCTTCGTACAGTCAAATTCAAATAACCATCTTAATGCTGGTTCACTGTTTGTGGATTCACGCTGTTTATCGTCCGCTTTCAGTCACATTAAGGTACACATTAGCGAAACGTGGGGTATAAAGGAGCTGCTTTCCCCCAAAACACCTCTTTATCCGCTCCCTCGAAGTATTCGAAGATGCATTTATGTATTTTGTGGACTTTGGGCTTCATTGCAACAGCATTTGCAGCAGCATCAGGCATCTCATCCTCTCACGTGAGTTTACTCGCCAGCCTAGGAATGTTTGCTGACAGTAAATTGCAGATTAGAGATAACAGTGAGCTAGCCTTTGAACACAAAAACAACAGTGGCGTCTTGGCAAGACACGAAGAAGTCCACGACGATCATGTTAAGGATGAAAAAGGCGACAATGAACACTACAAGCACAATAGTGAGAAAGGCCATGACAAGGACTACAACTTTGACCACGACAAATTCGACATTTACGCTGGACCTGAAGGCGACGATTTAGGTGGCGAACTCAAGACATTCTACTTCAACATTACGGAAGTTCGTACATCTCTCACTGAAGGCCAACCACGCTTCCATTACGCTCTCAATGATCAGCCTTACGGTGAAGCAATCATCTTCAACGAGGGTGACGAGGTTCAGTTCATCTTCGACAACTACGCGTTCGAGGAGACGACCATTCACTTGCACGGACTTTTACAACAACTCACACCATGGTCTGATGGTGTTCCGGGTGTAAACCAAGGAGCAATCCCTCAAAACAAACGTTTCATATACCGAACCCGTGTTCTTGAGCAGCATGGGTTATACTGGGGCCATTCGCATCTTCGAGAGCTATACGCTGACGGTCAGACTTTCCCATTCTACGTCAGACCAGCTCCTAACCGTCCTAAGCCATTTGGACTTCTCACCGACGACCCAGATGAGATCGCGACGCTGGAGGCAATGAACGACAACCCAACCATCATTAGCTTGAGCGACTACTCGGTGATGCCTACCGAGGAGAAGAAGGTAGCCACGTTCGATTGGGCATTTGGATTCCTCTGCTTCGACGCCATTACCATCAACAATGTCGGTCGTCAGAACTGCCCTGGCAGTGAGTACCTTCAGACTCTCACGGGATCAGACACCACCACCGACAAGGGCTGTCTTAATCCAAACGTCATTACCAACACCACTGGCCTCTTTGACGACGACATCTGGTACAACTGCAACGAAACCAACACTGAACCACCTGTGTTCGAGTTCAACTATGAAGATGGCTGGGGTGTTATCCACTTCCTCAATCACGCCGAGCACTGGGATCTGATCGTATCTGTTGATGAGCATGAAGTATTTACTTTCGCAGCAGATGGCAACTTCCACGAGCCAATAGTCAACGATGCTTTCATAATAGGTGTTTCAAACCGTCTCGGTATCGCGTTCAGGCTCGACAAGCCTGGTGAATATGTCATGAGAGTTGCAGCATACCAAGACCCACAGGTTATCTCCGGATATGCGATTGTTAAATACGGACTGGATAAGGCAGCATCAATAGAATACACGCAAGAGACTGGTTTCCCAGCACTTCCTAAATCTCAGCCTTTCATCGATTACGCGGGTATCGCAGTTTCGAACGAGACCCGTATTATGGACAATCTAGCTCTTCGCTCTTGGCCAAACTCCCTCGTACCAAAAGCAGGCGAGGCAGCTGACGTACTTCTTAGACTCGACTTCAACGCCTCGGGTACCTTGTTTTGGGAAGTCGCGGGTGAACTGTACAATCCACTGCTAGAAATGTCTCAGCCACCGGTGCTGATGAATCCAGATTACTACCTGGACTTGAACTTCTCCATTGCCGAATATCCTGCTGGGTCTGTGGTCGACATTGTACATCAAACTGCTCCTGGAAACCCAAGACATCCAATCCACAAGCACTTCGTGAGTTGAGAGTGTTATTCACAAGCTTTACTGACCAGATAAAAGGAGCCTGTGTATGTTTTGGGTGCCGGTATTGGTCCATTCAACTTCTCGTCCGTACCGGAAGCTGAAGCAGCTGGATTACCGATCACATGGGACTCGCCACCGCTTCGAGACGGATGGTTGACAATAGCAGCTCCTCCAGATGACTTCTCCTGGATGGTTGTTCGTTACGAGGGCGCCATTGCAGCTGCAGTCCTCCTCCACTGTCACATCCTGGAGCACCAGAACAACGGAATGGCTTACGCGTTAGCTCAAGGACCAGAATCCTTCCCAGAAGCGCCAGACTACTACAAGCTGAGAGCTAACGGTAAAGCGCCCTATACCCCGATTGAGTTCAGTGACGCGGACATCACAATCCCTGTACTCCTCAACGACTTCGCTTAGTGTGAAATCTTTCGTAATAATTGTATATAAATCTTCGCATTGATTCGTTTGCTCTATCGATCACACTTTCCAGTTCGTTGTGCCAAATCCAGTTGCGGATAGGGCGTGACAGAATGAGACTAATTTAACTAATAATCTTGAATAGATCAAATCGCATATAAGCTTTTTAAGTGCAATTCAGCGAGCCTTGCAATCGCTGTCATCGTCTTTGTCATATCTGCTATTCCGAGAAGACGAGCAGCCTTCTTTTCGAGAACCAGCTGCGAAATGTGAAGTTTTGGCATTTCAGTTATTTGCATTTTTTGCCAGCCTATCAATTCAATTACTAATCCGTCTATATCATTAAGCTTGCTGGAAGACCTAAGAAAGTCCGAAGATCAAAACAGCGATGTCAAATACTGACAATCTATACAATCTAACCCAAAAATTATTCCTGTGGACTTTCGAGCATTCCAAATACATCCATATCTCAATCCTCCACACAATATTCACCAACTTGTAATTCTCCAAGATCACATCTCTCTCAGATAGTGATTCACGACTTCCAGTATCCTAAAATTAGTATTCCTGGCGGACAAGAATATGATATTAACAAATTTAGATCCCTAGCGTTCCATATTGCACCCTGC